TTTCCTTAAAAAATGAGGCCACATGAAATAGCACATACATATATCTGATACGGCGCTAGGTGCCCCCTGAGGACTTTGTCCAAGACTCCGCGAATTAACCTCCCTAGTCTTCCGATCGCAAAGTTCTAGTCAACGCCTCTGAAGGGCTCGGGTACGTAGTCATGTAATGAGCGCCTAACACGTGCCAGATGCTGTGTTAGGCTTGGGGGGAGGGTGAGCTCTTCACACATGATGTTTGTGAGAGACAAGACAGGGCGGCAGCACCGTGAGGGGACCGTCTTCTTGCCATCTGTGTAAGGTGACGGGCGAGAAAATGAGCCAACTTGGTGGAAAAGAAGAAAGCACAAAAATAACACAACCGTAGTTATCACAATGGTGGCCTCATTCTGCCTAAGAGCCGCATCAGTTTTACTGCGTTTACGGTGCATTAGTCCCTGGCCCCTGATGGGCGCTTAATAAATAGGCGTCGAATAAATACATGAAGGGAAGAAAGCGGAAATCCGTCCCTAAGCCTTATGAGATCTCTAAGGATGAGGCCGCTGGGGCCAAGGCAGTGCTTCCCGTCAAAACAAGCACCGAACTACAATTCTAGTCATTCTTTGGAGATGCTGGCTATTGGAACACGGCGGTTGCGAAACCGTCATCCACCGTGACTACACCTGGGTCCAGCCCAGGACCCGCTGGATCTGAGTCACAGGGCGATCAAAACCAGGACTTATTCAAAGGCAACGTTTTCTGTTTGTTTTTTTTACATATTGCGAAACCAGTGTGTGCATATGTTTTCCTGGGTGAAGATTCATCTGTGATTATAATCAGAACTGACACCTGAGAAGCGGGTAAGAGGCCTTTCCCCAGCCTCTCCTCTTCCCTTCACAGGGCTTCAGGCAGCCGGGGAGCCTAGGGCACGATTTAGGGCAGGCTTCTGGGCGCACGCGACAGACCCGGCCTTGAATCCTAGTTCCACCAGTTACCGTGACCTTGGGCACGGTCCTCAGCATGGTCCGATGACCTGTGGAAAGGAGCTTACCAATTGAGGTAAGCTGTGTGGGTTAAATGAGATAAAGCTGGAAAAATCCTCCCCTGCAGCATCCGACACATTTCAAGTGGTAACGCGGTCCAAGTCTTTGCTTTTCGTAACTGTCAACTTAATGGGGAAAAACAAAGTTACCAAATAAAGAGGGAAGTTGACTGTTTAAGCCGAAACTTTGGTTTTATAAAGAAATGGCCCCTTCTTAAAACCTGTTACACTGATTCTCTTTCCAAGAAGTTCCTATTCTGTAATCTGAGTAATCATGTGCCAACCCCAGTTCACTTTCCTATCAGACAAGTATGAACGTTTCCCTTCAGTACAAAGCATATGCATAGGGTCCCAGGGTGAACTCTTTGGCAACTAGACGAAGAAATGAACATGTTCTCAAACTGTCTACTAAAATATAAGAAACTGGCGCCTGGGTGGCTCAGTCGGTTAAGCGTCTGACTTCAGCTCAGGTCATGATCTCAGGGTCCATGAGTTCGAGCCCCGCGTCGGGCTCTGGGCTGACAGCTCAGAGCCTGGAGCCTGTTTCCGATTCTGTGTCTCCCTCTCTCTCTGCCCCTCCCCTGTTCATACTCTGTCTCTCTCTGTCTCAAAAATAAATAAACGTTAAAATAAATAAACTAAACTAAACTAAACTAAAATATAAGAAATTAAGTAATGAAACACACCCAAGTCAGGAAGTTTTAAGATATTTTTGGGACAAGGCAAAAGAGCTAGCCATAATCAAAATTCAGTTGACCTACTAAAGGGAAATAAAAATCTATGGAATCAACATGTATAAAGTGCTCCCTGTAGACAAAACACGTGTTCAAAAAACAAACAAACACATGTTCATCTGTTGCATGGACCAAGATTTTTTTTAAGTTTATTTTTATTTATTTTGAGAGAGAAAGAGAGAGAGAGAGAGAGAGAGAGAGAGAGAGAGAGAGAGAGATAAAGAGCAAGCAGGGGAGGGGCAGAGAGAGAGGGAGTCAGAATCCCAAGCAGACTCCATGCTGATCTCACCGTGAGACCTGAGCCAAAGTCAAGAGTCGGACACTTAACCGACTAAGCCACCCGGGTACCCCCAGACCAAGATGTTTTAAGCAACACAGAGACCAACAGGACCTAAAAGGAGGTCCCAGCTCTGAAGTACAGCAGGTATACAATTATAATACAAATCAGGTGATCAGAGCTATTAATAGATGTATAAGAAAAGCACTATAGGAAGAGGTAGAAATTCTAAGGGTTTGAGGAAGACCTGCTAAGAGATGGCATCTGAGGCACTATTTGGAGGCAGAGTTGAATTTCAAGAAGCAGATCTAGGGACGGGGGAGGAGACGATTCCCTCAGAGGAAAGAACATGCATCTCGAAATGTTGTGTCCATTAGGGGAGAAAGTTAACAATGGTTAGTACAGGAAAAGGAAGAAAAAAGCTTGGAGAGGTTATTGGTCTCGTGAAAGTTGAATGAGATATGCAAATCTAACGAACACTGATCAGGAAATTACTCCAATACCTTTAACTTGATAAGGTTCCTTATGACAGCTCTTATTGTATTCTTCCCTGAGAAGGTAAGCAATTATTTGTGAGTCATAATTACAACGTGGAACAAAATGACTAGAACCCTTGGGAATTACCTTGTGATCGAAGCACTTATTCAGCAAATCTATTATCTGCATCTTGCAGGGAGTGGTTTAGCAACCTCTTTCCTTGTATCTGAAGGAGAAGTTGACTGTTAAACCATTCCTAAGTTTTGTTCGACTTCACGCATGATCCGGAAGTCTTTTGTCGACCCGCGAAGCATCTTTCATAGTTGTTTCTCAAGAAGCGGCAAACTTGGCCGATCAACTTTTACACATCACTCTATGCGCAGGATGGGAATCTTCTGAATTTGCACCTCAGCTTACTCAATGAGACCATACTACACCAGAGCTCAGAAAACACAACCCAGGGTCAGCAGGCTTGTGACGTTCATGTCACACAACTGAATGATTCATGTCACGCACACAAATGATTGCGATAATATGAAGTCAATTAATTCTTCCCCCACCAATGCAGAAAGATGCCCCTTGGGCAACAGACTCCAAGGGACCAGGAACAGCCCGCAGTAGGTAAAGAAGCCTGTCGGGCTACAGGGACAGCAACAGTGAAGAGACAAAAGAAAGAGAAGCACAGTAAGGCTGGTTCCTAAAAGGGAAGGCATACCGAACTGAATAAGGTAAGGACATGAGTAATAATAGTGAAATGAAACATCAAATACTTTACCCACGTTCACAGCGGGGAGAAGCTGTATCAACTTGAGAACAGTCGCCCCGTTCAGTGTGGCCCCCACAATGCCTAAAGAAGTAGCTGGCCAACGTTAAAGAATAATGAGATTTCACTGCAAACTCAAGACGATCAACATTTCTTAAAGAATTTGAAGATCTGGCAACACTGGGCTTGTGGTGCCGCTTGGCTCTAGGCTGTCCCCTTGGCCTGAGTCGGCTCTCCACCTTCTACCTGGCTGGCTCCTGCAGGCACTTGTGTGGACAATTCTTGAACAGGATTTCCAAAATCAACCCACAGTCAGTCAGGACACAGGTCTTCAATGGCCTTTCTTAATTTGGGAAGATGGCAATGATGATTGTGTGTTTTATAGATTAATCAAATCCAGTTAGGCAGACTACCTTACTTATGATTCAGGATTCCTTTACAAACATTTATATGAGAATAGGACAAAGTGAAACCTGCCCGGGGTGATCTAAAGATAAGCAATGTAAGAGACGGTGGTTTGAGCTTGGCAGCTCAAACCTGGCTAAGTCATGAAATAGGATTCAAACTACAAGTGGACAGAAAGCTTTTCAGTTCAGACAAGAGAGACAAGTATCAAAATGCAGGCACAAATGCAGGTTTTAGTCAAGTGGCCAGTTAAGCAGAACTTGGAAGACATGTACTTACTGTATAGACAATGAATACATGTAGTATACGCCCACATACATATACATACAGAATAATGCACGAAAAAATGATTTGAAGTCAGTGAAGAGCTAAATAATCATTCAGTATTTACATCAACCTGCTAAGTGAGCCAAATGTCCACCGAAAGCATAAGTTCTTGACCAACAAGCGTTTATTTAAGTTACTTTTAAGTCATCTTACCAAACTCGGTGCTAGATCGCTTTAAGAGCAAGTTTCTTAATTGCACACGGCATTAATAAGCAGAGTCCCTTAAATAGCACTCCGTTGTGATAAAACTGCTCTCAGACACGGTAAATAAAAAGAGGAACAGCATTTTCCTGTCACTTTAAGTTGTGAAGCACGGAGAAAACAATCATCTGTTTGTGACGGGCAAAGCATCCGAGCTGAAATTTGCGAGTCTTCGGAATCGAATAAAGATGCCGGTAAAAACACAGTAGCGTGACTTCTTCCTAACGTGTTCAGCACCGCCCCCCACCCCACCATGCCGGCCTTCCACCTTCTGCAATTTGTGTGGGAGAGGATGACAGCGCATCGTCACGCTAATACTATATTCGTTCTACGGCTCCAAAGGACGCCGTGTTAGGCTACCAAAGCCGTGACACAGCTTTTGCCCCATCCAAGGACGTCCTGCGCCCCGCAGGCCAAATGCTCCTGGGGAAGACCGCAGTAGCGGTCAATGTGGCCACCTGTCCCTGGCTACAGGCGGGCCGCTCTTACGGATGCTTGGCGAGTCCCAGCTCCCTTTGGGGGTGGGGTCCCCCTATGAGTAGGTGATTCGGCTCCACCACCGAGGCCGGGGCTGCTCAACTCGGCCACGGGGGTCGCGAGAGGCCGAGGTCCCCCAGGCCCACGGAGGGCAGCTCCAGCGTGGCGGGTCCCGCTCCGGGGGCCTTGGCCTCCACCCCCTGCCTAGCGACTGGGGCCCGGGGTCGGGGGAGGCGCGGGATGGGGACGCGACAGCCAGCCCCGAGGTCCACGGGCGCCCGCCCCGGCTCAGCGCCTCCTCAAATGTCACCCTGGGCTCACCAAAAAGCGCGTGGAGCTGGTGCCCTGGTCCACTGCCCCCACCAATGGCCCCAAAACTGCTTTCTTCGCGGCTGCCATGAAACCAGCTTCGGGTCAGCGGGCTATCGCGGCCCGTTTCCCGGGAGACGGCGGCGGGCGGGGGAGGGGCAGGTCGCGAGCCGGGCAGGCGAGGCGGCGTGCAACAGCAGAACGCTGGGATCGCGCTCCAGGCAGCCCCTTTACCCGCGCGGAACCTTCTCACCCCGCCCCTTCGGCCCAGGCCCCGCCTCCAACCGCGTTCCCCATGAATCCGGGGGCGTGGCGGGGGGGGGGCGCGGCCCGCCGGGCCGGCCAATTAGCGAACGTGGAAAGAGGCGGAACGTTCCGACAGTCAGAGGGCGGTGAGACGTCGGGGAGGCGGGGCCTGGGCGCGGCGGAGGCGGTGGCCCGCGCCGCGGGTCACGTGGGCTCCTGCGGCCCGGCGGCCGAGCCGGCCTGCCGCAGGGCCGGGGGCGGAGGCCGGTGCTGCCCTTTGGCGGGGAGCGCCACCGGCCCGTGGAAAGGGCACAACCCCCACGCCGCGCTTAGGGGCTCCCTCCCGCGAAAGGTCCCAGAGGACAGGACTGCTTGTTCCCCTGGTGGGCTGTGCAGAGCGCGGCGTGAGTCGCTGTTCAGGCCGACCCGGCCGGGCCTTCCCGCGCTTCCCACGCCCCGCCCACCTCCCCTCTCCTTGCCCTGGATAAGAATTCCCTGCAGGGAACCGGCCCCACGTAGCGTGGTCCCCGGGAGCACGGCTAATCCCTCATCTTCGTCCGCTTTTCAGGGACAAGGAACGCGGAAGTTCTTTCGGTATAGCACGTAAGGCAAGAGCGCAGAATCAACCTCGGGTCCCTCAACTGACAATCTGGCATCCGGCAACTCCCTGTCCCGAACCGCCCTTGCTCCTCGCTTGACCTCACTCTGGTGTCCCCTCCCTCTCACGCCATTTCCTCTGCCTCCATTAACTGCTCTACATCGCAAAGGGAGAGCAAAGGGGCTCTTTGATTTGACCTTGAATTTACCTTGCCAGGATCCTTTTGAGTCCCGCGCGTTTCAGGAGCTTTTCAAACTTTGAATGAAGACCCACCGTGAGAAATAGTTTACGACTCCAGGTGTGTGCGTGCGCATGTGCATAAATTTATTTTCTATGTAGTACATATAGATACACATAAATCTATTTTCTGTATATTTACATTATTGAAAAATGTTTTCCAAAACAATTTATCCTTCCGTGCTACGCATTCTGTATTGCTTTATTCTATTGCTGATCATTTTATCAATTGAGTAAAGGAGGCAAAACTGAAAGAACAAAGGCCTTTTTTGCGGGGGGGGGGTCTCAGAATTGCAGTTTCGGTGACAGGTTCTGGAGGACTCAGAAAAGGGTCTTGTTCATGTGGGGAAAGCAAGGGGTTTTTACGGGAAAGAAAGAAGGGGTGATTACATGACTTAAGTAAAAGGAAAAAAAAAACCTACTTTGGTGCTGACTGGTGGAGCCACTTCTCATTACTATCTTATTGATTGTTTTATTGTTGCTGTCAAATAAAACTGTCCCTGGTATGTATGAATTCACTTTGCTGTCCTCATGTGATCTGTCAGTTGCTCTCTTTAAACTTTACGATCAACTGCTTGTAAAACAGTTGCTGCTTCTGGCCTAGTTCAAGAGTTCGTTGGGAAGAAAAATGCAGCTGCAAAATGGAGAACCGTATGTATGGCCAGAAATTTGACACAATTCCACAGTTCTCTTTTGATCCAAGATTTTTTTTTTTTTTTTTTTTTAGGAAAAATGTCACAGATCAATACTATTCCCTGGTAGCCAGTTTAAATGTTCCGTTCTGGACCTTAAGGAAGAGGTCCGGTCCAAATCTCATGAACCAGCCCTACTCTTGAAAATGTCAGCTCAGGGGCGCCTGGGTGGCTCAGTGGGTTAAGCGTCCACTCTCAATCTCGGCTCAGGTCATGATATCACGGTTTGTGAGTCTGAGCCCCACCTATGGCTCAGTGTCAACAGTGAGGAGCCTTCTTGGGATTCTCTCCCTCTCTCCCTCTGTCTCTGCCCCTCCCCCACTCATGCTCCCTCTCAAGCAATAAATAAATAACTATTAAAGAAAATAAGTCACTTCAGTTAAACACTTGTGTCTCGTTTCAGGAAGTGGGCTTCGAGGGGGTTCCCCAAATTAGGCCCATATTGTGCAAGCAGTCAGGTAATTAATAAGAGGCATCTGTACGGAAACAAAAGAAAAACAAAGGTTAATGGTTGGAGCGTGTTATAAACCCAGTGTCTGCGTCCTGAGTGTGGCCAGTGAGAAGATTTTCTAGATGTCAGGCTCAAAGCGTCTTCAGAGGGAGTGAGAGCAGGCAGTGGCGATCTGACAGATTTTCCTGGTTTGCAATCCGAGTACCTCTGGTGATCTTCCTGAGAGGCCCATATAAAGCAACAGGCACGAAGACCGTCTGAACATGGGCTGTCCGTGGCAGTTCCTCTGAAGTTTATCTCAAGTTGTCTAGCTTCAGTTTGCACAGCTTCGGGAAAAAAATGGCAGTTTTAGTTCTCAGCCATTCCAAGTCAAAAGAATGAAAGAACATTGGAAACCTTGGTTTGGAGAGTCACAGCCAGATATTTGAGGAAACCAGAATTCAGGATACAGCCCAGTTTTGTAGGGAAACAACACACTGTCAGACAATCAGAACTAGAATCTAACATCCACACGTGTGTGTTATGGGAATACAATTTTTTTCTCTTTTTAAAAAGAAAACCACAGGGGCGCCTGGGTGGCGCAGTCGGTTAAGCGTCCGACTTCAGCCAGGTCACGATCTCGCGGTCCGTGAGTTCGAGCCCCGCGTCAGGCTCTGGGCTGATGGCTCAGAGCCTGGAGCCTGTTTCCGATTCTGTGCCTCCCTCTCTCTCTGCTCCTCCCCCGTTCATGCTCTGTCTCTCTCTGTCCCAAAAATAAATAAAACGTTGAAAAAAAAATTAAAAAAAAAATCTTTAAAAAAAATAAAATAAAATAAAATAAAAAATAAAAAGAAAACCACAGGCCCCAAATGGTGTTGCTTAGGCCGAGTTCCCAAACTGGGGCTTACTACCTAATTTAATTGCAGTTTCAACCTCTCCCAGAAATGTAACCTTAACTGGTCAGTCAGGAATTTTCCAGATCAGCCCACTGAGTCTGTCCTATGGGGCCTCTCTATCCCCCAAAGGAAGATGAATAATCTACATGATAAGACCCCTCTTCTTCTCCCCCACTAAGGGAAAGTGACCTTTGGGGAACAATCCTTTTCATTTACTAATAACTTTCTGGCCCCACCCTCCTTCCTATAGACACTTTCCATTTTGTACAGTTTCTCAAAGCTTTCCTCTACTTGCTAGATGGGATACTGCCTGACTCAGGAAGCATTTAATAAAGTCCATTAAACCTTCAGATTATTTCAGTTGGATTTTATTTTTTAACACTCTCTAAAATCACCCTCATTTCCACCAAAGATAGCCAAAGGAATACTAATTTGTAAAATAAGTCCAATTTCAACACGTTGGCCTGATTATTTTCAAAAGTGTAGCAAGAATAGTGATTGATTATATAGGTTCATTTATTTTATTTTATTTAAAAAAAAATTTTTTTAACGTTTATTTTTGAGACAGAGAGAGACACAGCATGAACGGGGGAGGGATAGAGAGAGAGGGAGACACAGAGTCGGAAGCAAGCTCCAGGCTCTGAGCCATCAGCCCAGAGCCCGACGCGGGGCTCGAACTCGCGGACCACGAGATCGTGACCTGAGCCGAAGTCGGACGCTTAACCGACTGAGCCACCCAGGCGCCCCTATATAGGTTCATTTAAATCTGCTTTGCTGGAACTGTTCGTAAGACATTTTAGATTGAACTTTCAACAGCCTCTCCAAGCTAAGGAACCACGCCAAATACTTGCCATCAGACGTCTGTGTAATTAATCGCTAAGGATTTGGGTGAATTCCTCCCTTTCTGAAGTCCCCCCAAATAGCCTGAGGTTCCTGTGCCTGCCAGGAAGCGACCTTCCATCCTTATCTGGTAAGGCTGCTGGGAACCCTGTAAGCAAAGTGTCAGGATGATTTTTCCAAGGGGCTTGATTGGTTCCATAAAGTCAGCCTTAGATCCTTCGGGCTGTCTGGTCATATCTGAGTCTATGCATGTCTCTGAAATACGACATTCCAGTCAAAGCGTTGGTAATATAACCAGTGTGTCCAATGCTGTCCTGTTACAAGGAGAACGGATTCTTATTAAATTTATACAGATAGCTATAATTGCCACAAAAATAGGAATACTCACTGAGAGTTTCTAAATTCTGGAAGGATCAGGTAGGGAGAAAAAGATAAATGTTTCAGGTCTGTTTACAAAGGAATAGTTTACCAAATTTCTGTAAGTCGTAGATAGCCTAAGACAGAACATTTCTTTAAATCTGGAAGAGAAAACATTCTTCCTCAGTTTATTCAGGCCCGTGTTATTCATTCTTGTTTTTTTTTGAATCCAGACTTCAGCTGCAGAAATTCTTATCCAGTTCAGTTTTGTGATCTTAAGGTTATCAGAAACCTGTATGTGTCAAAAGTCCTTTCCATGAATCTCCTTGAAGCTGAAACACATGAGCAAGACCATCAAGAATAAAACAATAACTGTAAATGACAAGGAGACTCAAAATGGCCACAGTTAAAGATCTGTTGGGAGCTCATTATGATACAATTGAAAAGGAAGTTTGGTTATTTCTGTGACACACAACACGTTAATAATTAGAATTACAAGCAATAACACTGTACCAGGACATATTAAAACTTGAGGAATTTCATATTATTTCTAGAACAGTTACATGAATAGCAATTCACCCATACGATGTAACGTAAGATGGTTTACCCTCACTTAGTACCTGACAATGCTTTGGTAATTTGACAATTCCTTTGGTAATATAATATACCAGATAAATAAGCCTAATTAGTCAAAGAGACTTCATTTAGAATTTGAGTTTCGGAAAGTTTGTGAAAAATATCAGAAGGTTTTAAATGTAAAGCACATGACTAAAGAGGATCCCAGATCATTATAAAATTTAATACTTACCTGTCATCCCAGGCGACGGATAAGATCCTAAAGGCAAATATAGAGGATTACAAAGCCGTTAGCGAAAGTTAACTCTTTTAATACTGGGAGCATTCAGTGTCCTTAAGTATTTAAAGACCTGATAAA